GTAGTGATTACATAACAGTTAAGTTATATTTACAATAAAGAGATAACAAAGCAGGGCAACAGACAGGCATGGTAATTAATTACTGAGGAAATGATTCAAGGTACTATTATATGATCTGTGCCTGCAGAGATGCAAGAAACTAAAAGCTAGTTGAATGCTAGATAGGAATAAGCTGAGGAAGAATTCTCATTCAGTTGTAGCTGCTTTTCCATTTTTGGGGGTATATTTTATTCTCTTATTTGAAGTAGAAAATTATGGAAATCTAAATTATATTTCAGGTTTATTAAATTAGTCAAGGGCAGCGTCATGCAGTGTGCTGACTGATCTGTTATCCCCACTGTGCAGTAATCTAAGCCTGATTGACTGAAAGTGCAAAAATCCACTGGGATCGCTGGCTGATCATTGAAGACTGAGTTGGTTAAAGAAGCTCTGAAAATGATGAACGCTTAAATTTGAGACTTAATAAATGAATTTTTGTTCATTATTTACTCCCTGCCAAAACCCAGAGAGTGTCATTTTTGGATGATGTGTAAGTATAAGAAAGGCTAATAACAACAATGAGAAGGATAGCAGAAATGGTGAATTTAGTTATTAAAAACATGCCACTTGGCTGAGATGACTGATGACATTTTTAGTGAGAGATATTTTCTGCGCCATACATTTATCAGAGTTTTTATTTGTCCTTTGATGCTTTTCTTTGAACCTGAGGAGGAGGATTGATTTAATTTATGTACAGGTCCTTCAGCTGCTCTCCCATGTGTCAGTGAATGCAAAGTATTTTAGGTCATCAGCTGACTCATTAGCTTCCTATTTAAATCACATGGTCAGTAAGGAATGATAATAAGCTGTGTCCTAGTCCAGAAAGACACCGGGCAGCAAATAGTTTCCTCCACAACGTGACAAGCATCTGGCTAAGATATACGACAGACCAAAATTCAAAATATCAGGGGATCCATTTAAGAGCCTTTTGTGCTGGCAGCCAGTTAATCTGACACTTTGATGAAAAATCAATAGAGGGGAGAAAGCTGTTTGGCAGCTGCATCTTAATGGTGCTGCTGCCTGAGTTGAAAACAAATTACAGTGTATCAGATTTAAATATCATGTTATATAAAAGCCTTCTTCATATGTGGTTTTGATTTTGTGTAATTTATTGTCTTCATGCCATTAGCGCAGCTTTTTTGTGGATTATGGCTTGCTTGGATCTAATATAATTTTACCAAATCTGGAATAGTTGACAGCTTCCACTCTGTGCTTCCAGTTTCATAGGAAGTGCTTGGTAATGAAGAATGACTATGATCCCGTGGAAACATTCTCTGTTTGGGCCGTTTTCACGTTTTCAATACATATCAGCCGATATTACTAGGGCTGTGAAATATGACCAAAATATCCCGATATAAGAATTCTATCGTCCCGATAACGATATAAATCACAAAAAATTAACATTTTCTGTAAATTCTGTGAATCTCGGGCAGCTCGACTTGCCTGAAGTGTTTGCAGCTGGGCGTCGTGTACCGGGAGTGGAGTGTTTTAACCGATGCATGAAACGACACATTTTTAGACATAAGTTGTAACGGCCTCCGTTTTCTTTGTGAGTATTTATTACACGGGGTGCTGCGGGGAAAAGCCTGTTCTAACGTTTGAATCTAAGGTTTATTTTTTAGCACCTGGCGGCTCTTTTTTACTTCTCATCCGTAAGTACTCTGCATACTCTATTACGTGATTACGTTTATTTTGAAAAGTCTCAACAGGATCTTGAGCTTTATTGTGAAAGGTTTATGTGGAAAATAAACAAGCGGACACGCGATGGTTTTACCATCATTGTTGCAAAGGACAAAGCATAAAAACAGGCACTTGTCCTTCAGTAGTGTGGTTATATTAAATATAAGAGAGAACTTTAAGAAATTAATATAGCCACTACAGTGAACATCAAAACGATGAAAAAATATTGCCGTAAACTGTTTATTTTGCAACACCAAACGATAGTTGTTTTTAAAACGTCATCCGATATATATCGTTATATGAACAGCCCTAGCTGATATATTTTAATAGATGGATAGTACCTTGGCACCATTTCTTACAAAGAATGATGACAAAAAGAGTATCATCTCAAACTGGTTTCTTGTACTCAAATGATCTCCACCTTCACCAGAGCTAATCCAAGAGAGCACCTTCATGGTGGGAGGTTCTCATGAAGGCTGTGCAGCTGACAGATCTGTAGCAACAGTGTGATGCTAACATCTCAATACGGAGCAAAATCTCTGCTGAATGTTTTCAGCACCTTGTTGAATCTACGCTGTAGTCTGACATATTGTAACCTGTTAAGTTGACAATAGCTTAATTGAAACCACACAGTTCCTGGTGTTTCTGGCCACCACCCAGTGACCTTCTGTTTTAGTTTTGCTCTGGAAAGTCCTGAGCAAAGATTAGCTGCTAAACGCTCCATGTTCATCAGCTAGCTGCTCGCTTTGCTCTTTGGTCCATAATGACAGATATTTGTTCGAGCCATTATTAATATGCAGGTTCTAAATAATTCAGCTTATTCAACTGTGAGAGGATTCTTTGTCACAGCAGCTCCCTTTCAACTCTTCCTGGAAACATTAACAGCTTGGCACATTTGGATATGGCTCGATCTTAAAGTCATTCCACAGATTTTCTCTGGGATTCAAGTCTGGGCTTTGAGGCCACTGAAGGACTTTCACATTCCTGTTGTGAAGCCACTCCAGCGTTGATTTGGCAGCCTGTTTGAGTCCTGTTGGAGGAGAAATTTATTGGCCCCGCTCTTAGGCCCCTGGCAGTCAGAAACATGCTCTTCTTGAGATTTGCCTGCATTTGGATTCCTGCATTGTTCCTTTGGACCTCTGGCCAAGTCTCTCCATCGTCTCTGGCCAAGTCTGAAGCGGCATCATCATGCTGCGAGGTATAGATGGTCTTAGAGGTTTGATCAGCCTCCCCAGTTCCAGCAGACACAGCACTCTGCATTGCAGCAGAAGCGTTTTGATTCTATGCTTTGACAAACTCCAGGCTGCTGCCATGTGGTGTTTTTCAGGTGAGCCTGATTTTCTTAAAGGCGGTTGCCACAGTATTAGTTTCTGGCCTGACAAGAAATTCCAGCCTGAATGAAGAACGTCCAAGTCTGGCCGGATCGTCGGCAGGTTGTTGGCTATCTTGAGGTTCGAGGTCTCTCCTTGGCAGGTCGCTTGATTAGATCAACAAAAAGAAGGAATGACAGTTTAACCTGTCCAGAATACATCTGATAATTAAATTTTTTGCTTTTTTCATGTTTTCTTGGTTTGAGTTACTGTTGATCCTCAAACCCTTTTTATAGTTTAATTTTATTCCCCATATTACAGATTCTTTATACTATTTACAATATGAAATTTAGACATCAGTCAATCAATCAAATTATCTTGTCTGGTCCGACGAGTCTCAATTTTGCCATAAGTCATAAGTCAAACTTGCCATAGTCAGATGGTTCAGTTAGAAACAGGATGAAACCAAACACCTTACTGCAGCGTTCTTGGCTTCACATCCATGATAAATAATTGCCAGTAAATTAAAATTTTTTGAGCCTGGAGTGTTTATTGAAATTTCTGAGAAATAATAATAAAAATGATTTTAAAAAAAAGAAATTCCAGTGTGCATAAGTTACATGAGTTTCTTTTTAGATTACTTTTGCTACATCTGACATTGTATACATCAGGTTTTAATGGAAAAAGCACAAAATTACACTGAGATGTGATTTTGAAATATAGGGATCAAAAACGTATCAAATATACATTTGGCATCAAAGGGTCACAAATACCGTACACGTGAAAGTTTTTGCCTTTTTAGATCCACTGTGATCGGTGTACTTTATTGGTAATGTGACGACAGTGAAATCACCGTATGCAGAAAAACACGAGACATTGCTGAAATTACACATATTTTCTAAGACTTACCCTCCTGTACCGCATCTATTTTATATGTGGATGTCTCATTAAATGGGAATGTTTTCAGAATATATTTGTACATTTTTTCCATACAATAGTTTTACTGTCCCGGCCAAATTGAGATCAAACTGTATGTGTGTGGCCCATGAACGATTATAAGTTTGACTGGAGAGCCTCAACTTTTCCTCCTTTTGATACCTGCAACAAAAAAAATTCGCAGGAGACTCTAGACTCGCACTAATTAGCAAATGTTATCAGGCTCGTGTAGCATCACAAAGCCGCTTGCATGGTCCTACCTTTTTATTTATTCAGCAGCAGAAAGGAAATTTTACTCTCCTCTCCCCTGCACTTTATTCTCCCTCGGTTTATTGGCAGAGCAGCAAACACCTCATAAATCAAACTATCAAATTCAACTCACTTTACTGTGACACTGCAGAAAGATTTTTATAGTGACCTTTGACATTTCTCTACTCCTCTAGAGTCTACACAAGAGTTTTGGTGATTCTAGATTTCTTTGGTAATGAGAAAGTAACTAAATGCTGATGATTATGGTAGAAAAGCTTAGCCTAGTTTTTGTCAAAGAGATATTTTATTTTTGTTTCAGCTGAAAGCTGGTATTAAAAATCTAATCTACTTCGGCTAAAGCCAGAGTAAAATAAAGATCTTTGTTAAATCAGCTGTGTTTGTGTAATGAACAGAGAGGCAGAGAGTTTAATGTACACAGAAAGCACTGCTTTATTGACTGCACTGGACTGGACTGGTCTGGACTGGGTTGGATGGGACTGGGACTCCATCAGATGAAGTTGAGAGGAGGAAGGGAGCAGAGTGGGTTGGGTCAGGTTGGGGAGGCACGGGGTGGGCAGGGGCATAGTGGGATGCAGCCATCATTAAGGCAACACAAACAGCATGCAGATACAGTCACAGGAAACATCATCATCATCATCATCATCATATTGCTTTTCAAAGTCTCGCTTAAAACATCGAAATTGTACAAAAAGGAAGAAAATAGGTTTTTCGCACTAATGAAAAATACATTTTTTGATTTTTTTCCCTCCTACAAAGAAGATTCTAATACAAGAAAATAAATATAGCAAAAAAAGCCAAAAAATAATTTAAAATAGCTCTTCTTTTTCATATATGTTCAATAGTTCTCTTTGCTATTAACAAATGGCACAACATTCTTTGAAACAAAGAATACAGAAGGATAAACTCCTGCAACATTCATATTATTATATTGAAGAACCGATGCAGAGTGGAGGACAAACTGGACATGACAGCAGAGATTTTAACCGTTTTATAAGGACAAATAAAGACAGCAGGAGGAGGAAAAATGTGTCCGAGCTCTGCTTTGAATAGACAGCGCCGATTGGCTTCATGTCGTTTAAATACAACCAATAAGATTCAGGATAAGGATGTCCAATCGTACTTAAGTATGTCATGAGAAAGTAGAAATGAGGGAGAGAGGGAGACTCCTATCTTGTCACAAAAATGGAGATTCAAGGGTGATGTTTAAAAGTTGCTCTTTGGAGGTTGCCAAAACAAAGCTAATTTAAATTTCTACTTATTTAAACCTGAGGGTGAAACCTTTTTTTGTTGTTGTTGTATTTAATGAGTCAGGAACTGTCTGCTCTGCACAGAAGAAACGTGCTGAGGGAGAATGGTGAAGACAAAAGCCAAAGAAATACATCAATCAGATAGAAAGTTACACAAAATTAAGGAGAGCAAGAGAGACGGACTGACTGGGGAATGAAGAGAGACCAGAGTGGCAAAATGCAATACATGCAGAGTACAGTACAGAGCGAGGTACCCCACATCTGTTCTGGCACTTCATCCACATTGAGCCATCAATTTTTAACGTTCAGCAGTAACTAGAACAGATGAACGTTGGCTTTTGGTTTCCTGCAGCTGAGCCTTTTGGAAGACAACACGCCTGGTCAGGAGACATGTCAAAGCACTTAAGAAGATGGCCTTTCACCTGTCTGTGATTAATCATTTTAAACGTCACTGCATCTAATCATATAACCGACACACTGTTTTTAAGTTTGCTTATACTGTGTAGAGACCTTATAAATTTTAAAAGGTTTGACCTGCTGCGACCAGCATTTTTCCCCTTTTGGATTTTCACCTATCGGGCAAAAGGACGCTGGTTTGAGACCAGGTATAAACACAGGTCCCCTTTGGGGGATGGGCCATCCAGCATAAAAATCCAATATGTGGAGCTACCCAGAAAGGGAGTTAAAGAGCAGCTCCTTCTTAGCATCACAATAATACAGAACACCATCATATAATGTCCCCTAGGCTATAATAACCTCGGCTGACACTCAGCAGAGGAACCGGTCCACCCGTCCTCCTGGTGACCAGATGTTGGCTGTGATGCAGCTTTGTTGCAGGATGAAGACGTGATTAGCGCTCATCCCATCGTTCAGGCTTTTAATGTGGCTGTAGATGTACCGAGATGTACCACAATTTTGTGCGAATGTTTTCTAAAGGTGTGTGCGACAAAACGAAGAGTCATAAATTCTTATTTCTGTGGGGGTGTGAAGGTTGAGGCTGCACCTCTCAATTGATGTTCCCAATGGAAAAACATGAGCTGCGAGCTTGATTGCAAGGTATGCATTAATCAAGCGTGACAGCTGAAGCCCCTGACGGATGTGAGGACTCACGAGAAACTGAATTTATTTGTGTTTTCCATCCGTCTGTCTCCCTTTCTCTCCTCGTCTGTGTGTTCGTACGAGCGCATTATTCAAGCAGAAACTTTTTTCATTTCTCGCAAAGAGTTTGTAACATCTAATTATAGAGAATTGCTTCTCTCTGTTCCTTTCACATTTGTTTGGACACACCTTTAAGAGCGGAGAAGGAGTTGAGAAGAACAAAGGGACGGAGGTGCAAAAGATCAGCCGCCACGTAGGAGGGACGGCTCCCTATGTTTAGTTTTAACTAGAATTATGCCAGTGGACTCTCTCTATTTTGCCTCCTGTGACCACATAAAACTAACAGAACACCCTTAAGCATACAGAGGGATCCAATTTAGGCAATCACAACACCTGTTGGTTCCCTGCAAGTATCGAATCTGGGATAAACACAAGAAGTGACTCAGAGGCAGGAGATAAACATTTGCGTGAATGAGTCAGCTCATGAAACGAGAGAAGAAGAACAAAAAAGTGGGGAAATGGATAAAAATGGAAGGAATCAAGGAGGAGGATTAAAGCGAGACAGATGGACTGCGTGGTGGAAATTACAAGCGGGAGAAGCAGAGACACAGTGCAGACGGCCTCTTAACAAATTATTTTAACCTGCATCTGAAATCCATTCTGCCTCGGCGCGATGTAGCCAGATTACATTTACACCTGCAAAACAGTGTTGAAATCGCTTTCTTTCCTGTTGCACTTTGGGCGAGCTTCCTGGCTGAACTCAGAACAGACGCTGGGAGACGGCTGGTTTGTCTAAATGGATCTTGGGAGTGTTTTTTTGGATTTACACTTCAATTTGTATGCTGTTATGTGGATGTCTGAACCTCACAGGAGCGCGATGGAAAAACCAGATGTAAAGACAGTTGAATAAACTGTTCATTTGGTGGGTGAGGCAGTGTGAAAAAGCGGGACTTTCCAGGTTTTCCAGGTTTCAAGTGAGATTTCCAAAAGTAAACATTAAAACAGACTGGATTCCAAACCTGGATCTTTTTATTGGTATGAGCTGCTGGCTAAAAGTATCTTTTTCTATGAACATAAACAACCAGAGTGTAAAACTGAAAGTGGATAAATGAAAATCTGGTCTTCATTGTGATTTTTAAAGGACAAAGTTGGTGTTATGATATATATTTTTTCCTTATTTGAACAAATCCTAGAAAAATACCAAAGCCATCAGCGGTTTATTACAAAGATTTTCAGACATCTTAGACATGATGGGGTCTGTTAGCATCACAGCTACAAAAAGAGCCTCTTTCACATTCATTTTACTGTTGTTACAATGCCTTAAGCTCCCACTTTCAGAGAGTTTTTTCCACTGTTGGATCTGTGTGATGTCAAAAAGAGGGGCCATGCCTAATATGGCAGCTCTGGCTGTGAACACAGAAGCTTTAACTTGAAAGGAGCTAATAACTGTTTCAGAGTTGGGATGAACCTCGGCCTAGTAAGACAGAGAATGGTTAGTTTTAAGAGTTTTAAACTCTGTTTAAAGAATTGTTTGGTAATGGCCTTTAATTTATGCTCTAATTAGCTTCATATCACGAAGTTCTGGTGATTAATAATATATTCTGCCGTAAAACTGAATCGTTTTGTAAGCCGTTTAAATTGGAAGCATCTCTGCTCGGCGCTCCCGATTTGAGTTTTTACATTTTTCAAAGACAAATCTTGGACGGGGACCCAGCTGTGTGAGGCGAGAGAGCGAGAGGAGGCACAAGGAGGGGAAAGGGAGGGCCTGGTACTGTTTATATTAGCTGCTTGTTAACCTGACTGTACGGACAGGCTCCAAACAGAATGCAGAGGAAAGAACAAGTTGTACTCTTTTGTCTTTCTTTGGCTCCAGTTCAGCGAACAGTCTCCCTCCTCTCCTTCTTTCTAAACAACTCTCCCCTTTCCCGCACTTTCCCTCTTTTCAAGCCAGAGTTAAGCAAAGCTGAGTGCAATGTTTTCAGCTCCTCGTGCGTCTGTCATTATTTGTCCTTAAAGCTATAGGTGTCCTTCTTCTTTTTTGATCACCTTTAAAAAACCATGTGCCAAGGGCCAAGGAGGCTGATCACCGGACAGGGAGAGGAAGAGTTGTGGGCAGGAGGGAGACAACAGGGTGATTGTTTTTAGGGGATTCAGGACGGAGAAGAAGAGGGGAGTTTGCTGGTGGTGGGAGGAGGAGGAGGACGAGGAAGTTGCTGGATGGTGGATGCAGAGTAAGGTACGCAGTGGGTACAGACGGGAGATTTAGTCTAAAAAGATTTCTCCGAGCTGCTGTGGAGGATGACGCGATCACACGGGTAGAGCATCAATCGCTCTTTGGTTCCACCTTCAGTCACCAAGAGATGCTGGACACAAACAGTGTCCCCCCCCCCCACACACACCTAAAAAAAGGCACAAAAATAGAAGCAATGCTTTTCGGATGAGTGCTTCTTGAGGTTTGTTGCAGGCTTTGATCCAAAAAAGCAACGCGGTGCTATCAGATTGCTGCTGCATTTACCATTACATTAAAAAAAAAAGGCAGCAAATCTTCACTGCTGTGAAGCTGAACCTGGGGAATGAATATCTGCCATTTCTGATAAATTAACCAAATAAATTTTTAAGATGCGACTGATTGAGTCTCGAGCTCTGAAGGTTGAGTTTTACTTGAGATCAGTTTCTTCCTCGGCAGCAGCTCCGGTTGTGCGACTAAACCTCCGATCTGTGGAGTGTGTGTCTGGGTTCTGGATGCTGAGACCTTTAAGCCATAACTTTGCTGTAACGGAGAGGAGAGCAAAGCGCCAGTAAAAACAGTAGAAGCAGATAATGAGTCAGCTTTCTAGTCTGATACGTGCCACAGCGGCCAGATAAGCATTATAAAAGGAAAAAAAACAAAACAAACAGCTTGCAAAAGCCTCTTTAAAACACGGAAAATGAAAATGTCTAGTAGTAGTAGTTGAACAGTAATATACATTATTGTAGATGAGTATAAACTCCAGCGGTAGGTAGGTGGGCGGGTTTGTACGGCTGGTGTAGGGCAGCGAAACAAGGACTAGGCACTGATACCAGAAACAGGAAGCACTAAGCAATCTCTATTGTCATGTGGATACATTTTTAGACAGACCTGCAATTTTCTGCTTTACAGACATTTCAAGACTTCTGATCTAATCCTGCTTTTATTACTGGACTGCTGTCCCTTGTCGCTTGCAGGTATTTATTTCCTAAGCAATACCCAGTCCTGCTTTCACTGATCCCACTACAGCCTCAGACCACTTTCTGGATGAAGGAGCAACCACAGAAGAAGAAACGACATCTTATGAACTGCATCCCGATGCCCTCGTGGTTCCCCAGAACCACCTCAGTGCAATAAATGACTTTAAATTGTAGAAATCCAACTTTTTACCACCCACTAGGAGCAATCATGGAATTCAAAGCCCCGTTTTTAATGTCGTCGTTCACCAGAACTGAACATTGCTGTCATTTCTGGATCACCCTAAACTGCTTTTCTTGCTAATGGAAAGCTGTAAATGTGACCCTTCACCCAGCTGAGGGGGTTCTGAGGAGCCCAGCCCTGCTGGTGCACTGATGTTTTACAACAGAGTCAGTACAGTAAACGGCAGCTGTGCGCAGGCGAGGTTCCAATTACCTGCAAGCAATCGGTCTAGTGGAAAGCATCACTGTGTGTAGGTGTGTTTCTGACCTGCCATTATGTGCTTGATGCCCGTCAGTTTATTTCCGTGGTGCAGCGTCAGTGCCAACACCTGAGGGAAGAGTTCTGCTCTCAACATACAGCAAGCTGAGGACTGTACAGCTTTTCCGTTGCACATTTTATTGCCTCTCTAAGTGGTGACTTATCATAGAGGAACGTGACCTACCGACACGGATGCTCCGAGTATGAGGATAAAAACTTTCACACTGCGTCTAATTTTATGGGACACAACCCAAATAGATAGACAGAGAGCGCGAGAAACCCCCTGCACTAGATCTCCTTTCAGTGTGGATATTCGACCTGACAGAGTTGCAAAATTCAAAGATCATCAGAGCACATTCGGGCTGCGAGCCAACACCCACACCGGCGTACCACACAGAGGATAGCAATGCTTTGAAGTTGCATTCTAGCAGATATTGATAAAAAGAACCTGCAAGAGACTCCAGTCTACATTATCTACGAAGCGGAAGGAGAGGGCATTGAAGCCACACTGTAAATATAGAATAATAACCAGTTATGTTCGCTAAGGCTGCACAGTATCAAGGCAAAAAAAAAAAAGAAGATCAGAAGTACAATTTGCTTTGTTTTTGTGTGGAATCTCACCATCACCCAGCAGGAAATCTTATATACTGCTAACCAGCTCCACTAATTTAGCCCCAAATGAGTATTTTTCAGTCCTTTTTTTGTCCTTCAGGCACTGTGCAGCCTCAGCCTTTGCTACTACATGTTAAGGCCATACATGTGAGGCCTTGTCTAAAACCACTGTCTACAACGTCAGGCTACTCTGAACATCGAATATTGAAACCAAGATTACATTTTTCTGTCTTAGCAACACATGAATGGTAACGAACACCTGGCCGAGGATTCGGAGGCGACACGTCACCGCGTCCTCGCATCGGAACGCGAGCTTTGTTGCTCTTTTTTTGTCGTTACTGTAATGTGTCAGCTGTAATAGCCATCGTAGAAGTCCCAAGTTCTCCGCCTGTCCTCGCAAGACTGTGACGCAACAATGCGAGTGCTTCTACCATGGCTACACCTGAAGGGACGAAGAGGGGACAGAGACGCAGCGCTGTCACCTGACCTGTGATAATACTCTCCTGCTGTTGGGGAGGGGGTGGCGTTTCGCTCTGAGTAAACTCATGCTTCCTGATGCAGTCAGGACCACATATACATAACAAAAACTTTTACATTGTAACCCTGTTATACCAGCTCTGGGGTTTGTGTAAGCGTCTATGTGTGTGTGTGTGTGTGTGTGCATGCGTGTAAGTGTGAGAGAGAGAGCTGTATGTTGTGTGATCAGTTCAGCAGCACTGGCTTTTTTCTTTTTTTTCCCTTTTTTGGAGGGGTTTAATACATGCGAGTGTGTTTAACAACCATCACCGGGCATTTCCTGTGGGAATCCCCCCGTGAATGCAGATCGATCCAGGTTGGGAATTAAAAGCGCCCCCTGGGTTAGAGGAGGTCGAATCACATCTGCTGACCTGGACATCACTGTTCGAGCAGTCTGACAGCTTAATATGTTTGCGTAGATAAGACTGAAATATGCTGCCTTGTAACACAGATCTGTTCTTTGGCATGGTCACTCCAGAAAACCGGGGAGAAGCTGTTCATACAGGAAAACGGAGAAAGTAGAATGGACTTGGGCCTCTCTTTAAATGTGTGTTCATCAGGCCTGGGTCAAGCAGCCCTTAAAATCAAATCTTTAAGTCATCCCAGTTTGGTGAGACCCAAAAGACAGTCCCATCTGTTAGCCGATACTATCTGACCTCAGATCAGATGGGTTAAAGTGGGACTGTTGAACCCAGGGCTGATGGTCGTATGCTGTACTGAGAGAAGGAGCATGCTCAGTAGTAGTCGTGTTGGAGTTCAAACAGTGAAGCTTTCCAAATAAGGAAGTTTCTAGACAAACACACATCACTTCATATATTTATATATATATATATACTGTATATGATATAAAATGTGTGTGTGTATATATATATATATATATCTACGTCTTTCGTTGCTTTTCCATAAATTCTTAACCTTTTATTGTTCTTTTTTATAAGTTTTTTTTTAACCCCTGAGAATACCACGGACTGCTTTAAGTACAAAATACAACTCTCTGAGAAAAACAAGAACGGCTCATGTGTTTCGTTTTTAAAAAACAAAAACAAATTTACAATCAAATCAATTCAGGGACTTAAGAGCGCAGGCCTCTGAAGCTGATTATTACACTGTCTACGTCCATCTAGTAGGAACAAGACGTGCCTCAGAGCCATCAGTTGTGAAAGCTTGGCCACGTCAAACAAAAGCGGCTGCCACCTTGGTGCCTGACAGTGTTTACGTCTTCATAGAACAAAACAATAAGCTGCATAGGTACACGTGGGTGATCTGACTAATAAAAATGACTAATTTCCTCTAATTTTACATACAGTTTTATGTATATCCACATGCACTGAATGCATTCCAAGTGATCCCGCTTCCACTGGACACATAAATAGCAACATCAGAATGCCAAAACGGAGGATTCCTCCTCTTATGAACCAACGCAGAATTTCAGCTGCTCTTGAGGTTGAATTTGTGTCACATGATGTCGGCTGCTGTAGCAAGAATTTACCCATGAACTACACAATGCATGGCCACCCTAACCACTCTGTAACTGTTTATAAAACACGTCTCTCAGGCTTGGCTTACATGAACACAGCTACCCACTCCATATGAAAAAGCAAAACTGTACTGCTGATTAACCAAACCCCAAAATGAATACTATTTGCAGTAATGTGCATGAAATGTTAAATAAGAGGTCTAATTTTCAATGGCAACAACATTGTGCCCGCAGTGTAACTGGCCAAACTCTGGTTATTGATGGCTCTGGGCTGCAGTGATGTAACTTAAGGGGGCACAGAGCAGCAGGCAGCTCTTTGCACTGAAAGCACGATGTTGCTCTGCGTTGCAAGCTGCTGCATATGCTCTGTTGATAAATGGCAAGTGATGCATTTCCATCCTTTCAGGCACTACACAATTGTTAAGGTGACAAGGAGCCCAATGCCGGCTACGCTCAGTAGCCACTCCAATGGGATTTCCTTTTGGCTTGATTGTTACAAATCCGATTGACAAACGACTGATTGATCTACTCAGCGATTGTTTGGTTGATTTGGAAAGTTGGCGGCGATTGAGGGGGACGCAGGGCCACAGGGCAAGTGAAAGAAAGGCACAGAGTTTGTACGACGATTTTTCTCCAAAGACCCGGGAGTTAAAAGAACGCGGAATTAGGAAGAATTTGAAAGCAGCTGACAAAAAGTCAGACCAAATATTTCAACGACGGCTGCGGTGTGAGCAAGAGGGATCCGCTTATGGTAGTTTGTGTGTGAGTATGTTTGTGTGTGTCTGTGTGTCTGTGTGAAAATCTGAATGAGCACCAGGGTTGGGGTCAATGTGTTCGCTATTCAGAAACTGGCAAAGCTGGAGATTTGTAGATTTTTTTTGTTGTTGTTGTTTTTTCTTTTATGAACTAAAACGTGAAAATGAATTTGAGAATGAAGGATTCAGTGTACATTTTTCAAACCGAGTCAACGAGGGAGGAAAATTGACCCCAACCCTGAATGAGCATCTATTATACACACAAGTGCTTACATTACAGCTCTTATGACTAGCTATGTTGTGCTTTTCAAGGCTGAATACAAGTTGTCACCCGCTGTACATATTCAGACCAACTCTGGTGTGAAATTGTCTTTTCCACTGAACATATTCAAGAAAACAAGCACTCACTGGATGCAACTCGGGCCACAAAGGCCGAGAATGAAGCATACCCTGAAACCAGCTTGAATAATAATAATAATTATAATAATAATGCCCCAAAGTGTTTGTTCCCAAGTCTGGCAGATACCACAGACATGAGGCCAGAACTGGGTGCTTCGTTCGACGCCCAGAAATGAAATGATTCTGAAATATACAACACAAAAAAAAAAACAAGAGAAAGAGACTGAAGGTAATGTTTGTTTTCAATCTGCTGAATGCATCACATCTTATGATAAGCTAACAACAAACTGCAGTCCAGTGGAGAAGCTTTTCTGTATGATAGGCAAACGGCTACATTCAAATCCCCTCCGTCCTAAAAAACAGAGCAGGTTAGGAGCTGGGGATTTTCCACTGATGGATGCGATCGGGATTTTGGTTGAACAAAGCGATCCAGCCGTGTTTTTATAGACTGTATGCTGGGCACAGGTGGGAAAAAACAAAAACAAAAAACAATTAGCCAGCGGGATTCTGCTTGGATAACTGCTTGTGTGTATTTGTCTATTGGAAACTCAGTTCTTTAGGAAGCCAGCACGCTTCTTCTCAGCAGGTCCTCGTTCCCGGAGTGCAACTGCGGCAGGCGGAGCTTGCGCCCACCGGTGCGCGTGTCCGAATCGCTCTGCTCGCCGTCAGAGAAGTAGCCATCAGTCTCAGCAGCGTCTAACAGGGATACGTCTTTCCCTGCGAGTGGCAGGTTCATGGACTCGAACCCCGCTACACCTCCGGTGACGCCCCTCCCTCTTGATTTACCCTGGCGGGACAGACGGTGCCGCGGGGTCCCGCCACGAAAGATTGTCCCACCGTCGGGAATTGTGAACCCAAGACCAGAGACCGGTGGGTTTGAGCCCACTGTGAAACCAGATCCAGCCCCTGATACTACACCATTCCCTACATGGATGCCATCCCAAGGACTGTTATCCTCCGAGATGTGACAGGAATCCATTTTGGAGATGGGCGGCTGTGGCGGTGGGTCCCTGTGAAGGTCAGAGCTCCTGGTCTGGTGGTGATGGAGGGGGTAGTGCACGGTCTTGGAGGAGCCTTTGTTCTTTTCCCCTTTCCGACTCACGTGGCCAGACTTTTCCTCCGCCATGCTCGCCCAGAGCCTCTTTGCGGTGGAGGGGCTGCCGCCTGCGGACGCAGCAGCTGCAGACAGGAGCGTCTGAGGCTGGGCTGGAGCGGTTGGTTGTGCACGAACACGGGGCCTGTTGCTCCCTCTCGGTTTGCGCCCCAACTGGGGTGTTTTCCAGGTGGACTGCATGGAGTTCTCCATCATTAGGTTGAGCAGGCTCTCTTCGCCCTGCAGGAGCTGGATGAAAAGAGGAGAAAGGTAAGAAAGGGCAAAAATTGGTGATGAAAGAGGAAAACGGATGAGGAACAAACAAATCTTTTCATGTTTAAAAGTGAAATAACACAAAATATATAAACGATATAAGTGAAAAGTTGACTGATACAACAGTTAATCTGCTCATTTTTGATTTTGTGGTTTGGAATATTTTGGAACAAAAACTCCCCACCCACTCCCACCTACCCACACGTCCAACAGCTCAGCAGTTTAGACTGTGAGCTGCCGATGTCACAATTTGTTCCTGAGCAAAAAAGCCCGACTAAATGACAAAGCTGATCTGTTCTGACGGCACTCTACATCGTGATCTTTTATTTCTTCAGGGTGTGATTCTGTTGAATCTCTAACACTTTTTGTTTTTAATAAACAGGGCTGGTATTTATTGATTTTAAACTACACCCCAAATATTAACTTGCGACATGTGGGCTTTGTTTAAATAACATCATTGTTTATTTATACAGATCTTTGTTTCTGAAAGATATCAGGTTCCTGTTTAATTGGAAAAAATGACTGCGGTTGTGTTTATTGTTCTTTAAGCACATCCAAAAACAGCAGCGCAATCTGGTGAGAGCGCCCTGCCAGCCAGCACACAAACAGCACGTTCCTGGGGGGAGAACATCTTTGCTCTGATTAGCAGATCGATCAATTTACAATAAAAAAAACTAATAAGCCAAACTATATAAAACCACAGCCAATCTAAAGAATCGATGATCAGGTCTTTGTTCAAAGTCAGATGAACTTTTTCAAGTGTCAAAACTACAAACTGACGCTTTGCTGGCTGACTGGCTCACCGCAGACTCGATGAAATGACTGAAACTTGAGTGAAAAGCACCATCATGCAAACTTTTGGACCATCACAAACAGCTGTAGCAGCTGTTTCATGTTGGTATGATGCTGATGATATTCTATATTCCGATCAGAAAAACCCATTAGGTGTTCGTTTAATACTTTCTGAATTCCCCAACTTGTTTGTGGCTCTCAGCCCTAAAACTACTGGTTCCCACTTAAGTAACAAATCTTTATAAACGGCTTCATAGTGGTGTTTATGTACACATTAATGTCTAAAACTAATTTAGAATCTAATTTCTAAATCTGAATTTATGTTCCAACATCAAAAAGGTGATAAGTTGAGTCATTGTGACCCCTGTCAGTTCGAGGGACCAGTCTAACCAGACCCAGGATAGGTGGGGTCTGGTTAGACTGGACCCCGGGATAGGTGGAGAGCTGGCGCCTCTTTGCTGAGCTCACAGAGGCTACTGAGCGGGGACTCCAGCCACATCCAAGACGATGCTGCTGGAATGTGTCCGCTGGATGAGGAATTTATTGGCGAGGCAGCTGCCTACTGCTCAGTTTTAAAAAAAATGTATGTAGTCACAAATATGCATGTACACATCTGTTCATTATTAAAAAAGCACAGATTAGCTTCGCCTATGTCCACAGTTGTGGACACAAACGCAACAAAGTTCTGTGGGAAACACTGTGGCCTCTCTCATGTGTTCGGATGGTGATCAAAATATACACAGATTAATTTATGACAGCTTTTAAAAAAAAATACTTTCCATTAATACAAGCACCATTCAGGAATAGTACCAGTGCTCAATTCTAGTTGAAACTAACAAAAAGTAATTAAACTGATCAAATGATTTCTAATATATGTGGAAAAGAAACGCTGGTCGTCCTTGTGGAGTGTTTTAGACTGAATTAATGCATAAAAGTGAACTTCTCTGTGTATGTTTCATTTTCTTGTACACTTTAGCCGTTTTTCCTTCCTCGACTAAGAAGAACGCTTCACTTTTTTACTTATGTAGCTGTTTGTGTCGGCGTGGCCTCTTCACAGGAAAGTCCTTGGCACTCGTTTCGTTCACCGGTGAAGTGGACAGGAATTCGGGTCAAGATGTAACGGTCTACTCACAATGTTGCATTAGCAAACCACTTTTTCTTTTCCAAGTATTGAGCAAGACGTTTGTGTTGTATTCATCTCTTATCATAACATGTAACAGCTGCAGTTCACCTGGTAAAGCAAGCACCCCATTGTACTGAAGGCTTAAGTCCTTACTACAGCAGACCCATTGCTGCGTTTCATTCTTTCTGTCTCTCTCTGCTAACACATCGTCTTCTGTGCCCTCTGCTCCTGAAGCCCTACCTGGTCAGAAAGCAGGCTGCCGCTCTTGTCCCGATGTTGAGCACCCAGAGCCCACTGGCTCAGCATGTCGTCAGCGGTGATCTGAACCGACTGGGCGAGCCAGCTGTCGAACAAAGAGTTGTCCAACGGGAATGACTTTGACAAACCTAAGGAAAGGGGAAGAGGGCATAAGCAGGGAGAGGGGAGGTGCAGGAAGGGAGAGTAAGAGGAAGCAAGAAAAATGGGAGAAAAAATTGGATGAAATTGGTAGAAGTGAATAGAAGGGAAGAGGAGGGAGAAAACAAAGCAGACAGGTGAGGAGTGTTGCATATTTTTCATGAATAAGAAAATAAAGGTAAAAGATCGAAAGCCTCCTTTCGATCTGATGTGTTTTAGATTATTGTAATGTTACATATATATCCAAAGGGAGCACGAGCTTCAGGGCAGGAATGGATGGATGGACATTTTTCTTCAGGATTTTCTGGTACAGAGGAGAATTCATGGCTCCATCGATTACAGCAACTGTGATGCTCCTGAAGCAGCAAATCACACTACCACAGCACCACCATGTTTGACTGCTGGTATGATGTTAGACACAAATCTTCGGAAAAGTTCAACTTTTGTCTTGTCAGTCCACAGAATATTTCCCCTAAAGCTTTGGGGATCATGAAAATGTTTTTCTGGTAAATGTGAAACGAGCTTAGTCTCCTCCTTACTGTTGAATCATCAGTCTGTCAGGCACGTTGATTCAACAGGTCTGGCAGTAATGAAGCCTGGGTGTGGCTAGTGAAATTAAACTCAGACAAAATGTATTTAACAATGTAGTTAATCACAGTTAAATCATCAAGGAGGGGCATTAACGACTTCCTCACACAGGGCCAGGTAGGTTAGACTGGTGGGTTTTCCCGTTTCTCTAAACGAAATCAAATAATAATTTCAAGCCTGCATTTTTATTTGTCTAATATTCAAACTAAGGAATCAGGAAGGAGGCAAATAATTTTTCTCAGCACTGTGTATGTGTAAGTAGAGCAAGCACAACAATGGTCTGGATTTGGAGCAAAATTACCAATGAAGGCTTTTGCTTTGTGTTTTAAAGTTTGCATCCAAAATTCGTGAATATCAAAGACAAAGCACTTAAATTAGATGACAACGTCCAAGTAAAAATAGAGTTGATGTCTCCTCGCCAAAAAAAAGAAGAAAAAAAAAGGATGCGTTTAATGACTTCTCCAACACTGGTGTGTTTACAGGACTATCTCAGCCTGGATTATGTGCAGTGTGAGTGTGTTCAGTATCTGTGTGTGTGTGAGTCTGCAGACAATGCTCCCTCCTTTTAAGTGTTTGCATGTGTGTCTGTATAATTAGGAGATTTTCATGGCTCCTTTTCTATCATTGTGGGCTGTGAGAAGTGCTGCCAAAGCGCCGCATGTCTGTCTGCAGCATTTTAGGATTTCTTCCTCTAATATAAAAGCACAGACAAACTCGTTTTAACAATGTACCCACACTTTCACTTGTCAAATATTTAATTTAAGTGGAGAAAGATGGATGGTGGACATGGCGCAATGTTAACAGTTAAAAAGATGATAAAAACAAACCCAACACATAGAACAAGCAAGTGTCAAAAATCCTCACTCATTATATTTCGGAAAACAGAAAGAATCTAACATTTTATAGTTGTGTCAAAATATACAGTGATTATAATTATGTGGTATTTAGTCCACTAAGTGTAAAGTAGTGTTCAAGTGACGGTAATTGCTCAAACACTGCATCATAAAGTGGCCCAAAAGAAAACAGGCAGACAAACACGAGGAAACAAGGCAACTCATCGCAACCATGGATTTCACATAAAGGATAGACATCGCCTTTTGACTAGACTTCAGTATCAGTGAGAATCCAGACGTGAGCGGATTTTTCATCTGCAGTCATAAACCGTTTGGGGGCAACACACAGACACCGATACGCAAATCAGGATTTATTAACAAACTAATAAAATACTAGAAATTCAATCACTAAAACCAAGCGCAAACATCTTGGACAGGCTGTACCTCACAGCAATAATATTTATTATTTGCCACATAATTCCATTGAAATTCATCAACAGGCACAGACGGCACAATCAAAGCAGAGAGGTCCAATTCAGCAATTCAAATTAGTTTAGGTGAAACCTAGTACACAGACTTGCTAAAGGTGCCTATGTCAGGACACTTACCACCACCCAGATGGATGAGCAGAATTAAAAACCCACCCCCCGGTGAGCTCTTACAAGGGGGAAAACTATCCATGGAGGTCAAAACATTTTATTCGTTAGCTGTAAACACGATTACTGTATAACTGAACGTGGGAGTCCACGGGGACCACCGGAGTCCACCTGTTCTCCTTTTTAAATGACCAACCTCTGATATTATCTAGCAGTGAATGTTTAAAAACTCATATATTGCATGAGGCATTCAGTGACACCAATATGACTGCAATCATAACCTATGATACAGTCTGTAGTTGTCTTAATCAGGTACAGGTTTGGGTGTATATACAGTATCATAATAGAGCTCACTTCCACTGTGAGTTGAATGAAGTGCAAATGTTATTGCAAAAAAAATCTAAGTATGACCTCTCAGGGACTCTGTAGGCATCAAGTGAATAAAAATAATCAAGTTTATTGATCTAATTTAGTCCAACCAAGAGCACTGGGAGATAGTCATACTGTCTTCAGGGAACAAATGCATCTAAATAATCGATAGCAGCCATATGCACATCATCAGGAATGCAGAGAATGAAGACAAAACTTTGCAGAAACTGAAATGTACTCATAAATGTGGATATTTTTGTGATCTGAGCATCTTTCTCTCTTTTATTTTTGCAACCTCCTTGTAAATCATCACTGCTTATAATGATCTGGCAAGCAGGACAGCAGGAGGTGCTGTTAGGGTGCCTTTAACACAAGCTATCTAACACACACACACACACACACAGACACGCACACACTGAGCTGGTAGTTTCCATGACGCAGCATGTCTCTGCAGGAATTGAGAGAGCTCAGAGGGAGGGAATAGGTGACGGAAGGAGGGGGAAAAAGACAGTGAAGAAGTGTGAAGAAGACAGGGAGGGGTGATGGAGCAGAAGGGAAATGAGCAGAGTTCAGAGAGAGGAAATCAGGAGACCAACATAAACATGCCACCCTGTTACTATGTCCAGTTCGGTCAGGCACAACATCCATGTACAACATGATTTCTTTAGATGTGATTATTTAACACAAATCCATTCTATTGCATAATAGACAGAAATCTGGTGTATTTTATATGCCTTATGACATCTTACAGACTTATCTGGGAACAATTTTTCATGTCTAACTTATAGCCTGCTGTTGGGTCTGAGTTCTGTCTGTAGTTTTTTCAGGACATGTTTTCCACATTTATCCAGGTTTTTCCTCAGCATCTCTCATTTAAGCACGATCTGCCCAGGTACAATAACAGCCACAGTTTATTACCTTATTTTATTTAGTATTTTCCTGTTGTTGCTTTGCATGTGATAAAGAAATTTTTTTTACTAAATGTCTGCAAATCAAACCCCAGTTAAAAATGTTTGCCGACGCTAGAGATCATCCTTTCGTTTCCTATGCATTCATATGTTTTGGATCATCATGCTAACATCAGGAAAGGGAACCTTTAGATATAAACACGAGTATAAATAAACATAAAGTATTGTTTTATTTTCTGTTTAAGGAGACAGGGAAGATAAAGTCCTCAAACAGATTTCCATGAGAAACCTACTAATGGCAACACTTTGTCATTTAAACCAAATTGCAACACTGTTTCCACCTTCTTCTTTTTTTTGGTACAGGCAAGTAATTAGCTGATGCTGCAGTAAAGCTAATGACAAGGAAATATTTCTTTTCCTGGTACTTTTGCAAGCTAATGCTAAAGAAAAAATGGTGTTGGAGTTAGTAAACACTAGGCTGTCTTATGGCACACAGAACAACAAGAATTGCCAGCTAGTGCTAGCTAATGCAATGCAGGGTAAGGGAAACACCAGCAGCAGGATAGGGCGAAGACCAGAGCCAGTACATAAGAAAGACAGAGCGAAAAGATGCTCCTGTAACTAATATGCTCGTCATTTATGTGCAGCACTTTGTGTCATGTATAACGTTGCAAACACATAGTGTTGGGTTAGTTTGCTAAACTTAGCAATGCTAGGAGTAGTTTTTCCGTGCAAATGTCCACAACTTGGTACAAAATGTGATTACAAATGGCTTCAGTTGCTAGGTTACATTCCAGTTAGTTCAGGCTGCCTGAAATAGCTTGCTTCTGGCATAAGACAGGGTTTTTATTGATGTTTCAGGCTCTGTTGCCACTGATGTTTATACATTTTGGTTGTCTTTGTATTTTGTGTATTCTAGTTTATGCAACTGTGTTGACCGTACTGATGTCTTTCTTTCAGACTTTAAAAATCAGAAATACATTTCCCTAATTAAGGAATGAAGTCAAATAAAGGGACACAATAATGGGAACTAGAATAAAATCTTTTGTTGTTGCCTACCATTTCTTCTTTTTTCACTCTGTGCTACCAATTTGTCCAAAAGCAAATTCATCTCACACATTACTGTTGGCCTCATTATCTTTGTGACCAAAAGGCATCTTGTTTCGTTAGAGCTGTCGTCAGAAGGCACAAACCAATTACTGGATAGTTTTAAGACAACCGATTTGTTTCTCTCTCTGCTGTAAAATCTTCGCTCTCAAATTTCAAAGTCAAGAGAAACACAAGAGATTCTCAGAGATGTTAACCTTGCTTTTATGATCCACTATTTAATAAACTGTGATTTAATAAACAGAGAGCACGTTTTTAATATTTTTAGCAATGTGGTTTAGTTTATTTTTATTCAAGGTTTTATTAAATCTAAAAGCCTTTTAAAGCTCTTTTAAAGTCACTGTAACTAAGGCAGTGCAGACCAATGTTCTCATCTGGTCTTATTACAGGTATTTGATATCTAAAGGCATCGACTTTATTCACATCTGAAAAAATGACATTTAAAAAAGTAAAGAAGAGACGGGAGAAACACCCTTCAATGATTTTGTGAGTGTTCATGTTTTGCAGCTTGTCCACCAGAGGGCGCTATGAAACTTCCCTGTAAGTAACACAGGGTTTTCGAAGCCACGATCAGATAATCTGAGCAGAA